TTCTTCACCCTTCATTGTTGTTGTGTCATTGCGACTTTTTTGTATTTGTACTAACCACCCTGCATAGACCATAAGCCCGCAGTATGGAACGCATAAGTAAATAAATAAATAATTAAATAAATAAAAAAAATAAGTCAATAAATGTATATGAACTGGTGCTCAAGGGAACATAATATGAAGTTTTATTATGCATGCTCTATAAGAGCATGCTAAGACGGCTAGACAAGGTCGTATTCTACAAGATAAGACAACTGCAACAAAGGGTCTTTGTTGCGTTTTCAATTAGTGTGTCCGTTCGTGCACCTTCCTGTCTTTTGAAATTATTCCTTTTTATTTTTTTGTATTTCCGATTCACATTTTATATAGCTTTCTATATTTCCGATTCACATACATTAGTAGCAAAGTGCAAATATCACAGAACACACCATAAATTCTTCGGTAATTGATCTTCTAGTTGCAAAAGGGGCGACGTCACAAATAAAGCTTCTACATGTAGGTGCATGCAACAATCGTTAACACATTGCAGCGAAAAGGCCCAAGGAAGTTTTGAGAATTGATTACATTGATTGCATGAGAGATGCAACAATGTAGTGGTTTTGGTACCATTTAGTTCTGTAAATAGTCGTCAACACACCCACTCTACTAAGCAAGGGGACTTGAGAGTTCAGTGACTGTTTAATGCTTTTTATGAGCAGAGGGCAAGGTCGAAGTGGTGCCCTCATATAGTTTGACATGAAAATCGGACTCTCCATGAAAAGGCCCTGCATCTGTATTCTAAGTACTGATAAAATTGATTCACTAAATGTGGTTATTAACCGCTGCAAAAAAAAAGTGAGAATCCACCCAGTACAAATGAAGCCGCAAAGATTTGTCGCAAGCTGCAACTTCATTCTATTTGATCATCTACCGATGAAAGCCCTGGAAGCTAAGTGCGGAGGGATTGCACGGGAGAAAAAATACTCCATGCGCCATGTTATTTCATACACGTCATCGATTATCTAAAACTTGCATTAAACTATAATGTTTCCGTGTATCATTGCCGTGGTATAATTCGTAACTTTCACTTACTATATTTTTGTAGCAGAAGAATTCAGGGGTGTCGTATGCAGCAATGCTACAAACCTGATTATACAGAACTAATAAAAAATGATGCCATACAATCTATCCGTTGTTATTGGTGTTATTTTAATGTTAATGTGAAAAAGTAAAAGTGGACGAAAGTTTATGCCTTGCCACTCGTAGGCTCAGTCCATCTACGAACTGAGCTACAGTGGCGGTGGTATCCAAACCATAGTACACATCTGTAAAGAAACATTGTTTTGAAACTTAGTGGCCGTGATGTGTCTCCTCTTCTCTTGTGTGTGTTTATTCAGCGCAAATTTTCATGTACAATATACTTACAAGCCCAAAGTTTAAGCGTGCTGATACGCACACACTTTATGCGCATGAAAACGAAAAAGCTATGTGAGTATGGCGCCATGTTCTGAAATATCGTCTGCAGCTTTCTTTTAAAATGTTATTTGTGGCTCAATATTTTATGTACACTAAACTGTCCAGACGTTCGATGTAGAAGATTGCGCCTGTTGGACATGCCTCCAGAGGCGCTTGTGTAAATTAGGTCTGAAATGTTTGTGTATGCATGATCAGCTCTTTTTTTGTGTTTGACTCATCACGTCTTACACATCAAAATATGCTGTACGATCACGTCCATGTTGCCGTTGTTCCAATGTACACTGATATAGAAGGAGATAGATTCCTAAGATGCATTCTCATCATGGTCAGTTCCAGTAGGATTCCTTACGAATCAGTGCATTCCAACTCGCTTAAAGAGAGAACAAGAAATTTATATCAAGGAATGAATTGTCTCAGTGTTTTTCAAACGCTCACTACCTGGACATGAACAATTGTTCTGCACACTATAAACTATTGTTTATAATAAAAACGCGACATAGTAATCTCGCTATAAAACATTTATATTATCATATTGATTTGTTAAAAGGTAGAAGCTGGTTGAATGTATGGTTTTATAAAGCAAGAAAGACAACTATACAGGCCAGGGCCTACTCAGCAGGTAACACGTCCTAATTGGGAAATAAAAAAAATAGGGAAACTTCAATTTTGTCAAACAATGTATGTAATAACACTACCTGAATTGACGCTAACAGAAACACTTGAAAAAAAAAACCGAACTTGCATGGTTCTTTTCAGGGAGACTTAAAGGTGAAGTGCATCGTCTTCGTTTTCTGAATTATCACTTCTCTCATGGTGGAGAGGGGCTGGTCACAAATTCCACACTTGCCCCAACAATGAGAACGTTTCGTTCGAGGATTCTATGCTTTCTGGTGTGTTCCAGCTTTTTATTTTTTTCTTGCACTTTTTCAATTCATATTCAAAATATTTGAACAAGGTCATTACTGCATTTATTCTTATTCATTTATTTATTATTTATTTACTCATTTACTGCAAAATTTGTTTTGCTCGGAGGCGGTAGTTAATCTCAACTGCAAAGTTGCATGAAATTTGATTAGTCAGATTTGCGGAGGCCACGTTCTGATTCCTTCATATAACTTGAACGCACCTACACGATCCTGAATGCGCTTATGGCTTCCGCGAGTTTCGATATTCTGCGTAGTCTTTCCCCTTTATTTTAAACGCTTGAATTATTTGTACATTTGTCGACACTGAAACGCCGCTACGTCAGCTGTTTCTGCAAAGTGCATCGCCACTCTATTTACTGTTTTTAACAGCAGCTCCTGTAACCTACAACATTGCAAGCACAAAATGGCCGCCGGGAAGGGCCACCCTCTCATAGTTTTCGACGAATATTTTCCTATTTATTTCAGAAGATAGCATGAATTTATTCTGATCACTTTTAGTTTTACCTGGCATAGATCTTTCTCCTCTCTTATTTCTTTATTTCATTTTGTAGCATTGTTTTAGGTTACTACTGTAAACTACTTCGCAACAGAGTGACCACGTTTTAACGCATTCATTACGTAATTGAGAAAGCGCGTTATATCAAGTGATTCCTATCAGTAATACTCTGATCCTTTTTGTATGGTAGGAAGGTAAGATGGAAGCTTGCGATGAAAAACGAAAGGCAGATCCCATGTACAGTGGGAATCGATGATATGCGAAGCAGGAATGAGAAATGTTGATATGTCACTTTAAAATCAGCACAACGTTACGAGGTGGAGGTAAATGACTGTACATGACTTCCGTGTCATGATTATCATGTTTGAATGTCTCGTTTACCTTCGTCATCTGTTCAGGTCACGTGATACCAAATTTAGTGTATGTGGAGCTAGCCAAACGGCCGCGAGCACGCTATGAGCGTGCTATGTTTTCATGTTCTTACATGACACGCGTGTGAGGATTATCATGTTTGCACCAGCCATACATTTCGTCATCCATTGACGTCACGTAACATCAAATTTGGTATATGTGGAGCTAGAAAAACGGAGGCGAGCGCATCATGAAGGCCCAATCTACTCCAATGTAGCGTTGACGTGCGCACATGCTGGGCACAGCGACGCTACGTTAGCAAAACGCGAGCCCTCTATAGTCTGACGCCAGGCGCGCCCAGCGTCCGTCGAGGCGGCTCGGCGGCAAGCGGCGCGAAATGCGACATCACAGAAATGCGATTCAAAATGCGACTTCTCAGCCACCGTAGGCATCTTCCGTCGCGCTGGCCATTACCTCAACTCATCCAAATGTCACATTGGACGCCATCAAAGCACGGTACTTGGCCATTTAGTAGACACCGACTGTGTACAACCAGACCCAGCAAAAATCAGCGCCATAAACACTTTCCTGTACCACAATATGCGAATGATGTACGCAGCTTTATCGGACTGAGTTCCTACTTCCGACGCTTCGTTAAAAGTTTTGCTCACATGGCGAGGCCACCTACGCAGCTCCTCAAAAAAAGGACGTTTCGTTTTTATGGAGCTCCGTAGAGGCTTCTGCGTTCTCGACTCTCATCACTCTTCTCACTGCTCCTCCGATTCTGGCACTCTTCAACCCTGCTACCCCTACAGAAATCCGTACAGATGCAAGTGGACATGGCATTGGTGCAGTGCTCGCTCAGAAATAACATGACCATTATTGCGTTATTGCGTATGACAGCCGCCTCCTATCCACTCCTGAACGTAACTATTCAATCACAGAGCGTGAGTGCTTGGCTCTTGTATGGGCGGTGGCGAAATTCCGACCTTATCTCTACGGACGCCCATTTTCTGTAGTTACCGATACCACGCGTCTCGGAGCTCTTGGACCCCGAACCATGACAAGGCTTCGCTTTGCTCGCGAATAGTTGGTATGCACGCTTGGGACTGGGCAATATCATTGAGGTTGGTGAGCGAGTCCAAATTTCGGCCGAAGTGCCCTGGAAACCAAGTGATCATGTGCATAGTTATTGCCCTGTTGGTAAGAATGTCACAGGGCTCTTTTGCTATGGAGCCCAAGGCAAACACCCTGAACGCTGACCTAGAGTCCGAGTAGATTTCATTCTACTGTCATCCAAAAGATAATGTGACCTCTTGTTATATATTGCCACTACAACTAAGTCAGACGAGCTTCCGTGTTGTGCTACATCTATGAAGCCAACCAATTGGGTATAATCCTTGATCTTTTTCAATATCGCAGTCGATCTTGCCCAACGCCTCCCCACATTGAGCTGTGGGTACACTTTGCGCACTTTAGTGAACAAGTTTCCCAGCCATGATAAGTGAATAGTTAGCTAACAATTGCAGCAAAAAAGAACAAGATGCAAAATGTTTGTGTCAGTGCTCCAATTGCCGACATTTTCGGCCCACTCTCAAATTCCGGCAGCACAGTAGAGTTACAATAAACATCAGAAGACTAAAAGATACCCACTGCACTTTTCCCCACAACCAGATGGGCAATTTTTAAAGTGGTGTTGGTTTTTAACAACCGCAATTAACATGCACACAATTTACATGCACAAATATCTAAATGTTCAACTCTTGCACAAGTTCACAAGTAATAGTCCCGTCTTTTATTGCCAAGATATTTTTTTTTTCTTTGGGGACAACTTGTTGTCCCTTAAGTCTTCATTTCATTGCAGTACTTTCGTCCTCATTTTTCCACATGCAAAAAAAAAAAAAAACAGTTCACAACATTGTGCCTTCATCACAAGGCATGTCTTTTCACTAGCTTGTCCTCCGTGGTGACAAGCATCACTCAAGGCTGCAGCTTTGCATAAACAACAAAGGCTGGGCGTCGTCTTCGTCTTGAAAAGTTGGGCATCGCTAAGTGGTACCCTTCAGTGTGAGATGGAGGGGGCAGCAACACACAAGTGGAAATGGAAAGGAAAACAAGAAACAGAATAGAATAGCAGAGAGCTCAGTGTGTTTGTGGTGCCCTGAATTTCTTCTGGTGTCTGCGTGTTTGCATGCCCCGCGTTCGTTAAAAAAAAACAGAAGGTAGGAATGTAAGGCTGCCCTATGGCAAATGTTGATTAGCAAACTGAAGCTAAAAATACATTTTGCAACCAACATGAGGAAGCACAGGCTTTTCAGGCATGTTTGGTGCATCATAAATGCCAAATTTCTAGATGGCAAGGCAAAAGGGCCATTTGTTAAAAACAGTAATTAAGAAATAGTCACTGAAAAATGTTTGCCCTAACTGTATCGATATAGCCTGACAGATTGTGCTGTGTTATTGGCACCTAAAGAAACAACAGAGCAGTCTAAATTTTTCTATAACTCCCCATTGAGTAGCGGAAACTCGATTAAGAGTCAGTGCAGTGATTGTTAAGTATGTCACCTTTGTCTCATGCAACTTAAGTTGTGCATAACAGCTAAAAACGCCACTATGAACATGTGATTGAAAATTTCTTAGTGATATCCATTTTTTAATTTTTATTGCAAACCGATTGCCACCAGTCCTCGTACTCTTAGACACGGCAATCAGGCCTGCTGTTCTTCGAGGCCAAACACAAATTCAACTATTGTGATCATTGGTTGTAAAATGCTGTTTATGACTGAAAAGTTCTCCAAACTGAAAGAAAAAAGGTAACAAGCAGAAAAGAATGAAAGAGCGAAAAAAAAAACAATGGCAGGCAGGTGTTAGGGTAGGGGCAAAACAGAGTGAGAGCTTAGGCCTTTGTTGAAGGTTGTGTCGGTGAAGTTTGGCGTGTCCCTTGGCTTTGTTTCTGTTGATCCCGAAGATGCTTCTCAACCTGCAAGTAGAGCAAAAGGCCATCAGCAAAAAAAGCGAGTGAGTGTACACGACTATCGACACATGTCAATACGGCTGCAAAGCATGCCCGTGATAGCCTTAAGCCACTTGAGGCAACTAAGGCAAGAAGTGCGATGTTCTAGTAACATGAAAGTACCTCCATGTTCAAAAGGCAGGGAAGTGAAAGCACGATTATACGGAGTGACAATGAGAATATGCACCCAACAAGTTCCATTTAGCATTCACAATGGCATTTTTCTTATTTTATTCCTTGCACTCCATGAAAAGTAAACAGCAAGGACTGCTGTCATATTGATGCCGTTCGAGCTGGAACATGGGTCTGGTAAAAATGCTGCCTAAATTTCAAAAGACTCAAAACTTATCAGACAAGTGTATTGGGCAACTTATACTATAGCAGTCTGCAGCGAGAATCCTTAAAATTTTGAATGCTTGAGCTGTGCAAGAACTGCCGTGTTGAACACAAGCAGTGGGCATACTTTCATAATTCTGTCCTTACTGATCTTATTTGTTATTTTCTGGGAAGAGCAACATGCCTTTCAGCAAGATCACCTGTACCAACTATAGATGCGCAGACACACACATATACAATGACGGGCCTCACTGGTGTTTTCAAGAAAGAAAAAATATGAAGAAATGCGTTATGACAGAGTGAAGAAATTCACCTAAGGGAATTCACATGCATAGTTTTTGTCTGGTAAGTAGAAACAAAGCATGCTCGCAATTTTTTCAGGAATAGCAGTTTGTATTTCAATGAATGTGACAACTGGTTGATTCATTTGAGTCTTTCCAAGACATAATTACATTTAGTGCCAATGGTAATGTAATCTGTAGCTTGTTGCAATAAGCTTGTTATTTTCACACTTCTAAATTAACAATGGCACCTAGATGCAGCATTAAAAAAATAAAAGGCAGAAGGTAGCTCTGTTGGAGCCACGTCAGTAACTTATATTCTGCAAGTGTCTTGCTTGCAAATGTATTGAAAATCTTGAGTAGCATCTTCCATTTTGTTATGTATTATGTCAAGTAACTAATACGAGATAGCCCACCACAGGCTCAAGGGACTTGTAAACTATCTGCACAGAGTCCCTTGAGCTAGCCGTGGGCTATCTTACAGTTTATTGATGTAGTAATGGTGCATGCTAGCAATGATTTTTAGAATTTGTCATATTCACAAGGCACTTGTTTTTATTTCATGCAATTCAGAACACTGGGTTGCACTCCTCAAAGATTAGCTCCAGAAGCATGGCAACCAGAATAAATGCGCACTTATATTGCACTTTTGTCTGAAGATGTATCTCGCACTGTGCTTCAACATTAAGTGTGGGTGAAGCAGTTATCAGCATAATTAAAGACTGAATGCAATGAACCCGAGTTCCCTTGTTAAGCCATACTTAATGCAGGAGCTCAGCAACGGAAGAAAATTTATTGCGATCACATAAAGAGCACACAATAAATTTGAACGAAAGTAAGAACCTTGCTAACACGTGCTGTGAACGGGTAAACTAATCGTGGCTGCCGCACATGATTCTGCTCAGCACACCAATCAGCTAAGCTGAGGAGTGCTCAGGCAGCAACGTTTTTCATGGGTCGCTCAAACTAGAAGTGGCTGCTTACAATCTTGCGCACATGCAACACACTGGCGTCGCTGTCCGATTTCCCCTTGCAGTTCTCTGGCCGATAGGCTGGAACGATGGTTACCTGGTTCATAACAATTATATTCTTTCCCTGCCACGTGACGTCGTCGATCCTGTTGAAAGAAAGGAGTATGCAAGTTGGTTTTCACACTTAACAGTGACATTACAAGTCAAGGTCTTGCCAGATCTGTGGTGCATTTACACACCAAAGGCAATCGTTGCACCCCACAACAATATACAATGCTTAGACCTATTTCTGCAGGGGCACTTCTAATTTAAAGTTGACTGATTAGGAGTGATTTACTGAACCCAAGAACTGATGTCATAGTGAATGCCTCCCAAATTAGTTCCGACCACCTCAGTTTCATTATCACACTATAGAATGCTGCTTCGGCACAAGGGTGCACCTCTGATCCAAATATCGCACTTTATTATGTTGGCTGTTAGCCAACAGCATGCCACTCGGTGTTCAACGTGAAACGGTAGGTTCTGGATCCTCCAAGGCGAGTGAGAATGAACATCAGTAAATTTGTCATCATTTTGTTTTTTTACTTTCATTTGTATTTTATATTTGGTGTTCATCCCTAATTTAATGTCCTAGTGAGAAACCTTGAGTATCAATAAAATAATGAATAAAATAATGAAAAAACTTTTTAAAAAAGGCACACGAGAAAACAGCAACTTCACTCTCTGTCTGAAGGCTGTTCTTGGCGCATATGATTTGCCCGAGATGTTCATAGCAGTGTCTGTTTAAGTGTTATCACCAATCCCAAGTGGTTATTTATGAGCCATTTAAATCGGTGTAAACCTTCAAAGTGTTTAACAATTCACCCAAGCTTCTTGGCTGTACTTAAACATACAGTGATGAGTTTTTGCCCAAGAAAGCACGCCAAGGACACAAATTCAAGCTCCATGCTTACGTATATCTAATGCAAACATAGCAAAAAGTGCAATGTATTGAAGATACATCATGTCTGACCTGACAGAAAAGTAAAAAAAAAAAACACTCACGTTTTTCGTATGGCCAGAAAAAGGCGAATGCCGTCGTGGGACACACCAGCTGAAATGGCAGCGGCCAAGCGCTGTCGCTCATCTATGTTCTGTTTTGCCCTCGTGTTGAGCTGCATCAGATTAATAATTAGAATTGTTGGGGTTTCCATCCTTAAAACCACGATACAATCATGAAAGACGCCACAGTGCAGAGCTGTGGAAATTCCAACCAGCAGGTGTTAACATACACCTAAACTTGGGCGCACAGACATCTAGAATTTCGCCACCATCGAAATGCGCCAGTGAATAATACTGCACAGGTTGCACGTGCACCACATCGTAACGCCAAAGAATGCAGCTAGCACTAGAGCGTTTCTGAAGTTCAAACGTTTTCCTATCAGCTTTTTGCACACAAAAAAGTGGTGGTTCTCGAAGGACTCCTTCAAATTCGACATAAGCCCTACAACAATATCCACCATCACAACAGCTGGCCAAGACCAATCAATCTTCGCCTTTTAGAAATAAACAAGCAACAGAATGATATAAGCGATATTTCTGGAGGTTTCTTGCAGAGGTATAAAATGAAATAAGAAAGAATAAAGTATATAAGTATATTGCAACCCCCAGTGGTACCATGAATACGTTTTTTTTAATTGTGGGTGTCTCCATTTTAACGTGAAGCACACAGTTTGAAGTCATCAGTCCGAGGCGAAGTCTCTTTCAATAATAAAAGCTGAAGTACATGCTGGTCTTACCATAATGCAAACACAATCTCAGAGCAAGGACTAAGGTGCGATGAGCCACCATGTGAACAAACTGAAAAGCCGGGATTAGATGACCCAATGTGTAAGTAAAATATAAAAATCAGACAGCAGTAGCTATACTACACTGTTTAAAAGACGTCGATGCGACCAGGGCACAAGTTCTGCTGTAAGGAAAGTTGAGGCTGCTGCAAGAAATGCTGAAACTGAAAAGAGTACTTTATCCGTGCAAACACATGGAACATCCTTTTTCGATGACTATGGATTAGGGATGTTTCCAGACTATGGATGTTACGGAGTACGCACCTTTTCTGTGTTCAAGGGCTGCGGCGGTGTAAGCTGACTGGAGCCGGCTTCCTTCTTTACGGTCAACTCCGAGACGAAGTTGAGGTTGACCATGCGTATGTCGCTGACATTGGCTTTGCCGCTAGAACTGGCACATTCTGAGACAGGTGTGTCAAGGAACAGCACATGAAGAGTGTCGCAACATGAAGGCGCATGACGCGCTGACATTAAGACATTACGTCCAATGCAGCCTTATGCTTCTTTTATTTTTTTTTGTTTGTTTACTTCAACTTCGCGGGGCGCAGCTTACACGGGCTTCGCATGTCACATGATTATGAGGCATGCAGTATAGCGAGGAAAACCGGATTAACTAATGAGAGTCAGCGCTTGTTTGTGTCTCTTCTCTTCGTCCCGTGAGTTTGTGCGCTGTTTCTGTCCATAAATTAACTTATACCACTTTTTGGACGCACCCAAATCGAGGTTAACGAGCGTTCACGCACTTCGCCCCTATCTAATGCCAATCGAACCCACGACATCCAAGTCAAGCAACGCCAACGGGACACTGAAGAAGCTGAAGCAGTGGGTAAACGCTGAGAAGGCATTAAACATAACATCTGAAAACATAATATCGCATTTCTATAATTAAGAACTGATATTCCAAAGATGCCGGAGGCTGTGACAGCAAATAACGCATAAAAAAAGGGCCACTTGGTGAACGCGAACGGTGCCAAAACGCTCAGCCGCCTAGATTATCGTAACGCAAGTGCATGTCGGCGCCCTTGGCAACGCGTCAGATGATAGCATCGCTGAGGCCGGTAACAAGTTGCTGCGACCTAGCATCGATTCAGCCGTCCTCCCGAGTAAAAAAATGTATACGGTAAAACGAGCCTACTTCACTGACTACGCCTACTCAATAAACTCTGAAACAGTGAAGAATGCTGAGTGCCGCAACACTAGCAGCACACTAGCAAACCCGAGGCGAGTCTTGCGAAGCACGTTTCCACTTTCTTTTTACCGCAGGCACCGACCGAAGCTGTACAACGAGCAGCACGATTGCCGAAAGGATACTTAGCATGAGAGCCTTGGTCTGCTGGTCGAAGGCCAACACTTCTCCCTCGATAACCTGGTCATAGCAAGTTTTACAACAAACAACACTTCCAAGGGAAAAACATTCTGGCCCATCCGCCATAGCTTTCATTTTCGGGAATGGACGATCGGCATAGTTGTTACGTTCTTACCGAAACCACTGACTTCGGCTAAACACAGCGCTGACAGCGCTTCATTGGCCAAAGACATAAACAACGCCATCAGTAATTGCACTTCAAGTAAAAAACTGCATAATTGTTATAATTTTTACGCAAAGATCTAAGTTGTTGAAGGAGATTAAAGTTTGCAGCACGGCGTTTTAAGCAGCATACGCGGTCCGGCCAATGCGGTGCTGACCGAACCAATCCGATCCAAAAGCGTCTTTTGGATTTGCATCATTCTTGCGGAAGTATTTTGGAGAGTCATTGCTAGCTCGTGAATCGCTGTTTGCGTTCCTCAATCGTGCTGTACAACCAAAAGTCGGCAAGATGAGTATTATGTCCTACAACGGAGGCGTCGTGGTCGCCATGAAGGGCAAAGAATGCGTCGCCATCGCAGCCGACCGGCGCCTGGGCGCGCGGCCACACCATTGCGCTGGACTTCGAACGCATCTTCGAGATGGGCCCGAAGCTCTACTGCGGCCTGCCGGGCCTTGCCACGGACACGCAGACGGTGGCACAGAGGCTCAAGTTCCGCATAAACCTGTACGAGTTGCGCGAGGGTCGCTCTATAACTCCCAAGACGCTCGGCTCGGTCATCTCCAACCTGCTGTATGAGCGCCGCTTCGGTCCGTACTTCGTGCAGCCCATAGTGGCCGGCTTGGACCCCGTGACAAATGAGCCCTACATCTGCGTGATGGACCTGATCGGCTGCATCGACGAGCCGACCGACTTCGTGGTCTCGGGTACGTGCGAGGAGCAGTGCTACGGCATGTGCGAGACGCTCTGGGAACCCGACATGGGGCCTGACGAACTGTTCGAGGCGACCGCGCAGGCACTCATGAATGCCTTCGATAGAGACTCCGCCTCGGGTTGGGGTGGCGTTGTGCACATCATCGAGAAGGATAAGGTCACCACCAAGTACCTCAAGACCAGGATGGACTGAAAAGAACATTGGCGACCGCCCGTCAGAAGCCTGTAACTTCATCCATTGTAGGGAATAAATGCACGCCCTTTCTTCTTTTTTTTCTATACTCCTTGGCTGCGTTTTTATCCTTAATTCGGTCGTGTAATAAGTTCGAGCTAATATTCAGAAGCTGCAACTCGTTCGGAGCCAAGAAAGCATTTATGATGTGATGAGAGAAAGAGAGGCAATCTTTATTATATTATTTCAAAGGGCTCTTAGAAGGCGGTGGGATTATCCTTCTCGTGTCTCGCAAACCCGGTAAGGAATTTGTACGAGTGCTGTCTTTATCATTTGCAGTTGACCCAGGTATAATGAACACGCGAGCCAATTAAACCACTGTGTTGCCAGAAAAGTGAAAAACTTGGAAATTTATGCCAAGGTAAATTTTTAATCAGGATCTGCTGAGTCATCACTTCAGAATATTGGTTCATATCATTCACTTACTAAACAAACCCTTTGCACACTATGTTACAGTACGCTGAGTTCATCCACGTTAGCAACTTATTAATGATATACACAACCAATTCGGTTGCCCTTGTTCTACACTATGCTTTATACATCAACTGCAATGCTGTGGAGGCTAGTGAGACTTCTTGTAAGTGCGTTCGCCACGAAAAATAATTGTGTTCCTACCACCAATAACAGGATTTTTTTGTTTTCATTATTATGATGAAAGTAATTGAAGGTGTTTGTGCCTTACAAACAAAAACGCCTTTAAGCGTCTGTTATTATACAGCTGGTTAGCTTAGTTTACACGTGACGTCACACACAGGCTCTCTGTGCTGGTTACATCGTAATGGTGGCCACCTGGGTCCCTGGGTTGCCAATGCTTCTACAGCATTGCACTTCATGTGTGAAATGTACTTTAGCTAACACTACTCTCCAAGTGACCACTCGCTGGCTGGATTTTCATTTTCATGACATCACAATTGAGCAGCTTAGATGAAATGCTTGAGCATTCTGTTTTGGCTAGTGTGCACTTGCCTGCTGCACTGCAAAGGTGAAAAAAGGCCGCTGTTTTATATGCAAACAGGAAGTGACAAGTATCTGCAATAACTCCACGAGGCATTGTTTTTATCAAAATCTTCAATTCAGCCCAATATTTTTCGCAAAGTTTATAACTGCCCTTGCAGCGAGAGGTACAGTGATCGAAACCCTGCACATAGGGATCTTATGGGGCGAAAGAAAAAGAGTGTATTTACAACATTTGCGCGAGCACAGTGACTGGGCATGACAACAAGCAATACTGCTTGTTTCTTAGTAACCTGGTGCATGCACCATGGGAGATCAGCCATGGACCGGGTAGCATCCTATTTTAGAGATACGATTGCTCTACAAATGACATTTGTGCAGAAATAGATAGTTTAAAAAGTAACTCATTGGTACAGTCAAGGCCTAAAGACTACTAAGAAGCCAATAAGATAAAAAAACAAAGTGACATTATAAACTTAACATTCAGTTTGTTTTGTCTCCCATAGGAAATTGCATACGGCTTCGCAAACGTTCCTGCGGCGTTAAAACCTATTTAGGTAAGCCAAAGAGAAGAACCACCAGAACGGATGAATGCAAGCTGGTGACAGGAACCGAGCCATCGTCCTCTTGTTCGTCCTGTAGATAAGCAACACAGAATAATAGTCCAGAAAAAAAAAACATTTTGGGTAGTGCCTGCACCTCAATGGCTGCTTTATGACATGAGGCAGTGTTATAAAATAGGTTATCAATGTTTCAGATATTAGAAGTAGCCATGCTTGGCTGTCACATGCTTTAAAAGTGGGTGAAAAACTGGTTTTATGTGAAATGATGTCATTTGGCCCAACATGTTAATAAATTGAACACTTGGTTCGAGATAGCAAGTCAGAAAATGTAATATCTTCTCGTATAGTGAAAACGCTGCCAAGCAATGTGGAACTATAACTTTTTTATTGACTTGAATGCATTCAAGGTATCAACAGTGCAGTCTTGCCTGAAGAAATTTCACATGGGTGCTTGATGTGTGATCAAAAGAAAGTAAATTGTGAAATTTTGTTCATCTGCTCTGGCCCTCGCTGTTTTAGAAAGTTTTCTTACATTGCTGCAATTCAAAATCTACGGTGCTGTTTTAGCCCCAACTACTCCTGTGTGTTGTTTTCAAAAATCCTAAGCATAATAGCTTCGGCACGGTCAATAATCCGCAATTGCTCCCTTTCAAGCTGCAGAATAGCATCCCGTAATTCCGATAAACGGTGAAGGCGTTCTTCACTCTTCTGAAGAAATTCGCGCAAATTGTCTCCAACTTGAACTGTTCTGTGCACCGCAGTGCCTAGACCTGCAATAGAAAATTATATGCAGATATTTGATACATCTTGCATGACGTTTAGGTTCATTGAGCATGCTTTTCTGCTCTAAAGCTTGCCCAGTGTTCATATATGCAATAGTAGTATTTACAAGGAAATAGATAGGAAATAATATTGTGAAACATTTGCAACGAGTGGCATTAGAAGCTTCTGCCGTAGCAGCTTGATGCGATTCACCATTCTGGCAACGTGTACCAGCAAACATTGTTACACCAAACTTTGTCTTTATCTGAACCAAGTCTGAAAACAGGAAGAGTTTAGAAAAAGAACATGAATGTTTTGTAAAGCAGGTAGAAAAAAGGTCAACACAAGATTCTGCAAAATGAGAACATCTCACTTGAATTCCAAGTGAAGCTTCATATTTGCCGTCTGTGTGTGTCGCATTAATAGTTTTCAAAAGCAAGTGCTAATTTCATGAAAATATACAGAGTTATGCACTAAATTTGTGTTGGAAATAGTTTGTTTGGCTGAGTTGATACATGACACTACGACAATATGCCATGATAATATGGTGGAGCAATGTATTGGGTCTTCAGCACGGTTGGTCATTGTTGACTGTCGATATTCGGTTGTCCACTACACACATTGGCTTAAAACTGCTTTATTTACTTTTTTTTCCATTTATTCCTTGACCTAATTCTCAGTGACACTGTTACCTTGTGGACAACAGAAAATCGTGTCCTCTTCCTAACTTGAACCACTTTGTCCCACACGTATAAGTATACTATCCTGCCACTACTAGTCTAAAAGTAAAACTGGCCCGACGTTTCGAGACCCATCCCAAAGCAGTCACCGCCTGAAGAAGAAACCAAATGGGTCTCGAAATGCAGAGACAGTTTTAATTTTATATTAAAAACTATAGACTAACCGTGGCTGGAAAGTCTGTTTATACGTACAATTTTACGCAGCCAGATAGATCTCTGTCGAAAATGCTCACTTTTTTCGATGTATGGTCCCTGCATTTTCGAAACTACACCACGCTCCCTTTTGAGTGGACGAAATGAACATAAATTCCTCTTACTGACCGCTGATTCATTGATATGTGGAGTTTAACGACCTAAAACGACCACATGATTATGAGAGACCGTAGTGAAGGGCTTCGGCGATTTCGACCACCTGTGGTTCTTCAGCTTGCTCCTAAATCTGAGCACACGAGTCTACAACATTTCCGCCTCCACCGGAAATGCAACCGCCACAGATGCGATTCGATCCCACGACCTGCGGGTCAGCAGATGAGTACCTTAGCCACTAGACTACCGCGGTGGTGCTTACTGACCACTATTATAATTTATTATCCCTTGTGCCTTTGTGCATACATGTGCCTTCTCACCCTACTGCTATGCGATGCATCACTGGCTGAATAACATGCTCGCATTTTCTAAGCGCGTTTCCAAAGGTGTCTGCAGACCTAATTGCAGATCAGTGCATCTGCAGGTGGGGGGGGGGGGGAGAGGGCATTCAGTACTGGTAGCTTTCCTTTCAATCACATGACATGACCAGAATAGTAGTTTGTAGGTCAGTAGTTTTCAACGTGCTAAATTGGCTCGCAAACCTGAATGCTGCTACCAGAACGTGGTAATGAAGCTGTGTAGGTTATTGTTCACTTGAGAAAAAAGTATTACCCGAAATTTCAGATAAAAGCAGGTACGCCCCCCCCCCCCCTGCACCACCATCCTAACATTTTGTATTCCCAACACTTTTC